TAGTTCACAGACAGACAGATACAGAGACAAGGCGAGGGTTAAAACAACTATCTAGACGCAAGCATGTGAACACTCATCATAGATCATCGAGTGTTTTCGCGAAACTTAATGGTTGAGCTAAAAAGGTACAGAAAAATATTGTGTAATTGATAAGTTGTAAGAAGTGATTGAAACACGTAGCTCTGGTACCCGGCAGGAAGATAAAGTAATAGTTAATCCTCATCCCTGAAATTTTGGTCAGTGCTCCTATCGTCCGCAAGATGTTGTCTTTACTAGGCAATGGTGAGTAGTGACGGATGTGTTGTAGGGGAGGCAGCCCGCGCTAGACTTGTACAACATCAAGCTCTCTCCACAGATATTCCCGGCATCCCTTACCACTGGCCATACAAGGTCAAGTGTAAGAGTCATGTGCGAGATGTCTTTCACCGTTCAGGTAAACTCACACATCAGGCTCAGCACGTGGGAAGTGGCGATTACCTGTATTTTTTTCTTTAAACTGTTCGTATGAATTTTTTATAATCTCACAGAGTGGTGATTGGCGGAGAGAGTTAAGCTATAATATTCACTCATATAACCCGACTGAACTTAGATGATATAACCAACACGATTTCTCTTAAACCCCGTGAGAAAAGCCACGAAAGAGAACACCATCTTGGGGACGTGTCTTGGCTGTCCATCACAACAATAGTGACATTAATGTTCTCTCACTCACCCCAACACTACTCCACCTACCTACACACATATAACTATATCACTTGAAAATATATTACAAACTTCACTCAGCAAGATAGATTTTTTCTCTCTCTTGAAAATGATTAATCTTGTTCATACATACATACATACATACATACATACATACATACTGTTGATAAATAGATATAGTTATATAGATATTCAGTAAATCGTCATAAAAGTCCACATTGGTTCAGCATGTACAGTCCAAACAGTACATACAGTGTAGGTATACTGTAGACAGTGGCGCAGTAAACACCAAGAACATCACCTTTATACTCTGCACTCCTACACCCAAATTCGTCTGAGTCACTTCCTTTGAGTCTCTGGGTTAAGCTGACTATTTGTAGTAACTTAAAGACTCTAAAATCTTGTAGTGGTATTTGTTATTACTTAGAAAATAAAACGCGTGAACCTCTCAGTGTTGTCTTAGCGGGAGATATGCTCTCTCTCTCTTTGTCTATATTATTATTATTAAAGTTATCATTCCACCAGAAGCCGTTCGGGGCGGTTGGTCTGTTGTTTGTTACTTTTGCTATGAATTTTATTGTCCAGTGTTATTACAGGATAAACACCACCCGGAGAAAACCTGTGATGTATGATAGAGTCACAGAGGATAATACCCTTCCCACATGTGTCTCGGGCCAGGAATCGAACCCATGATATAGTGTGAGAGATGTACACATTACTGCTGTTCCACCAACATCCCTATAATCTACCTTCAATTGTCCATTCCCTCCTCTCTCTTTCCTTCTATTTATCTATTTACCTTATCTTTTCTTTTAATTATGAATTCTCTCTCACCCTTCTTTTGCTTGTTCACATGTCTTTTCATTAATTCTTTCTTCCTTTCTTTATTTCCAAATTTCCTAGTTACTATTTCTGAGATCAAATCTATTTCGTTAAGGTTTCCCTTAACTCATGCACCAAAGAAAACGTGTATCAGCATCGTAGTACCAGGAGTGTGCAGCCCGTGGACTTAAACATGAATATCTTGATCTTGACTCATTCATGGGTAAAGGTTTCTCTCAGATGAATAAAATCTTCTTGGGTTAGCCAGAACAAAATACCTTAAGGAGCTAAGTACGCATTTGTGAACTAAGTTTATTGTAATTTTAAATGTATATTTTGTATGTAACTGCACGCCTTGATTCCACAGAAATATACACAAGAAAAAAAAATTCTTAGGAAACTGGATTCCCGACCATCACCAGGGGGCCTTAAGTTGTAGGCAAACGATCCTGTGTATTGGAAAGTTGGTAGTTTCCTGGCGTGAGTAACAAGCCAGTGTATTCAGTGTATTTCATGGACGTATATAACATTGAACTTGAGTATTATCATAAACAACGATTTGTTTACTGTGCATCCCATACTCATCCTGTGAGCGGTAACGCAAAACAGATTACAGATTAGAGGTCACAACAGGTGTATATAACAGATTCCAGTGGTCAGGATATTACTGCATTGAATGTTACAGAGTAGTTCCAGTACATTGCCTTTACAATGTATACAATGGATGTAGATAAGAGTGTATATCACGGGTCTATAACAGTGTATTTCATGGGTATAGGTAACAGTGCACTGGGATGGGTACATGCAGTATACAGCTGGATCACATTAGATCAAATGGACCAGTTCTTCATCGGGTTCAGTCCTATTGGGCATGTGGCTATAAGATGCATGTGTGCGTATGGTACAGATTGGGCGTGTGGGTATATGATGTAGGTGGGCGTGTGGGTGTATGCTATAGGTGTGGGAGGGAGGAGCGGCTGGGGGGGAGGAGCTAGGCTGGGTATCCATCAGTCGACGTCTCACTTGACCAACACCTGAGATAATTAAGGAAGACCTGGCGGCCACCTGCCAACACCCCCAGGTAGCTAGGGCAAGGGAAGGGAGGAGAGGGGGAGAGAAGGGAAGAAAAGGGAAGGGAAGGAGAGGGGAAGAAGATAGAGGGAAGGAGAAGGGGAGAAGAGGAGAAAGAAAAAGAGGGAAAGGCGAGGAAAAGAAAGAAGAAGAAGAAGAAAAAGAAGATGGGTATAGAAATGGAGAAAAAAAATAAAGGTGATGCAAAACCAGTAAAAAAGTGGATGGAGAAGGAGGAAAGAGGAGGTGAAGACAACGAAGAAGATGAATGGAGGAAGAGGTGAAGAAAGAGGAGGCGATGAAATACGAAGGGATCGTAAAGATAGAAAAAGAAGGGTGTGTGAAGTGACTCAGTGTGGTGGAGGGAGCGAAGGAGAAAGAAGGAATACATGCGATAAAAAGAAGAAGTAGAAGAAGAAGAAGGAAAAAAGAAGAAGAAGAAGAAGAAGAAGAAGAAGAAGAGAGAGAGAGAGAGAGAGAGAGAGAGAGAGAGAGAGAGAGAGAGAGAGAGAATACCTTTGGTAAGTCGAGATAGTTTACACAGATATACTGTACATGCAAGCACACATACATACATACATACATACATACATACATACATACATACATACATACACGCCATGCAGACACCCACACATATAGGAGAATGCACGCAATAGCGCTCATGTACACACACACACACACACACCATCAAAACCCCACTACCTCCTCCTCCTTCTCCACCCCAACACAATGAGAAATAGAGGTTAGAAAATGGACACCGAAGTAACAAACTGTGGAGGACATAAGGGTGTGCGGAGGTCCTCCCCTGGCAGACGTTTACTGCTCCCCCGCTGGGTCGTGGAGCAACCAAGATAAATACACACACACACGACAATTATCCCCTGAAACTCTGACTCACTGAGAACGAGAGAAATGTTGTGAGGAATCTTTTACTTTTTTTTCCCTGATTAATATAGTTATGTGTTATGGAATGATCAATATCGCTGGTTGTGAATTATTCTCGTTAGTTCGTCATGATGTACAGTAAATGACGTAATGATGTACAGTAAATGACGTAATGTTGTACAGTAAATGACGTAAATGGTATCAAGTATCTTAAGTTAATTCGTAGTTTCAGTATGTTAATGGATGAATTATATAACGGCATTTAATTATCGTAGTTATTTCGTCTCTCGTTTATATACCTGTCAACACTATCGTCATAATGTTGTACAAATCACCGTGTAAAATCTTGTGGCAAGTAGTGTACAATTTCTTCTTTATTGTCGCAGTTATACAGTGAAACAAGGAAATTAGCATACATAACACATCATAAATTCTAGGGCAGAAAAACAGACGAGAATGAAAAAAACGTTGGATCAGAGACATAGGATTAAAAAAACACACACACACACACACACACCCACACACACACACACACACACACACACACACACACACACACACACACAAAACGACGACTCAGTGATATTCAAGAAAGGTTGTATAGTGTTAGCTGCAGTAACACAGACGAAGGTGAGAGTGACGGTGCAGTAATAGTGACAAGGCAGTATAGTGTAGGATGACTTTTTTTTTTGTCAGAATCCCTCAAAACATCTAGAGAGAAATTCGATGTCAAACTATTTGTCTTAGAGAGTAGTGGAGGTGAGATACGGACTCGAGTCACACCAAGTACAGGGCACGTATTCAGGGTTTATTCTTTTTCTGAGTTATGGGTCATCTTAGGGGTTCAGAGTTGGCATGTCACTGATTTATTTAGCTCAAAGACACACTCTTGATGTCTTCTTTACACATGGTATATAAAAGGTATCAAAGACAGCATCGTGCCGTCATTATAAACTCGTGTCTTTAACCTTAGAGAAAATATCAGTATCTTGGATAAATGGTTCTTACTTTATAAAGACCTCACGTATATTTCCCCAATGAAATATGAAAATTATGTTAATGTAATTACTGAGAGGCAAAATAAGAGCACTAGTGCCGGGATTTGGCGGGTAAATGTTCTACTCTGGCATAACTTGTACAAGCTGCAAGGTAGAGAAGAACGCTAGGTGCTGTTAATTGATCATACTAATACTGTATTTCTGTAAACGATAAGTTTCGCAAGAAATTACTCAGTCACCACATCCCTGGTGGTGAGTCAGTGATGGGTACGAGGACCCTCTGTTGTAAAGTTATCTGGTGTTTGTAAAGAGTTTGTCTTTGTCGCTATAACCCCCAGCTACCACTTGTTTTAACGTACAGTATACTTTACACTATATTTATATTCATATCAGTATTCATATAATTGCTAATATTATATACATACCTGCTGTTTTTTCTTTTGAGGATTATGGACATGAAGATGAGTTTAATAAAGATAATTTACAATTAATGTTATAAAATCCACTTTTCTTTTTCAGCAGCGTCGGCATGGGTGAGAGGGCAAGTTCCGGTCTCAGCATCTCATCCGCCCACGGTCCAGCCCATTAATGGGAATCCTTCGCCTTTCGTCTTTTCCAGCTTCCCTACGTTTCCACCTGGGGTCGGAAATGCCCCCCCAGGACACTCCGTCCCCTTCTTTGGAAACTTCCAGGCTAATGGAAATCCCTTTCTAGTTGATTTTGCTAATCAAAACCAACAACCACCTTTACCGCCTAGTACAATGAACCAATCTCCTCTGCCAGGTGGGATTAGATTCCCCGAGTCTCCAGATATACCCAGTCCTTCTCTGGTGTCTCCCGGAGCTTCGTCCTTTGCCCCTGATGGAGATGAACTTCAAGAAAAAAAAGGCGACGTTTCTGAGGCGGTTGACCATCCTGCTGGCACAGATGATGGCATCAGCAGAGGCGACATCAGCCCTGGTAGTCGTAGCTCTTCCGCAGTACCTTTAGCGGGAATAGTCCCTCAAATTCCGGCACCCCTTGAGAATCCAAGCCTTTATCAGACAGACGCAGAGCATTCTGAAGTAGTAGCCGCGACAGAAGCTCCTCTTCCCTCGTCTTCTACAACAACAATACATACACCAGCTACCTCAGCAAGTATATCAGTGGCGTCAACAACAACAGAGCCAAACACCACACCAGTAACTTCCACAACTACAACAAATTCTGCTATTACACCACAACCATTAACTACCAATCCTATAATATCAACAACCACAACAACAGAGTCAACAACAGCAACAACAACGATTACAACTGAAGCAACAACTACAACTGAAGCAGCTGCTACAGCAACGACGACAAGTATATCTACTACTACGACGGCTTCTCCTACCACAATTAGAAATACTATAAACTTATCAGATATACTGCAGGGCAATGAAGCAGCTATCCCAGCAGGCATCCGGAAAAGTGGTGCGCCACAGTTTACTTCAAGACGCCCAGCAGCTTCACCAGGTTTACGTGGAACTTTGGCTTCTCGTCTCAAAAATTTCAAAACGCGAGGTAACCAAGCAAGGAGAAATCGGGAAAGCCAGCAACCTGATGATAAAGACCCGCCTCAAAACCGGCAACCATTGACCTTGGCGGAGAGACTTGAAGCCCGCAAGACCACAGGTAGCCGTGATTCTTTACACCGGAGTGAACCCGAGCGTAGGACCTTTATTGCCAGGGATGATAAACAGGAAAGTGACGACCAATTCAGTCATCCTCAGAGAGTTGGCAACCAGGACATTCCGGTAACACTACCTGCGTCTGAAAGCATTTCCCTGACACACGTCAGTCAGATTAGTAGCCAGGCTGGAGATAACGGCATTAGACAGACGGACAGCGTGCAGGGGAACTTTATTCCCGAAGGTCACCCGCAGGACCAGATTAGCAATTTTGATCAAAATACAGATCAAACAGATTATGTGCCCGTCCAGGACAACTTCGATCAGAAAAGCGCACAGCCGACCAGACTTGCAGCTTCTTTAGTCTCGACTAAAGCTCCAGAATCGTCCAATTCGTTTTCCTCGGACGTGGCCTCACTTTCACCAAGAACAAACCTGAAAAGACAGACAAGACCTAGGCCTCTCTCTCCGACCCAGTTACTCACAGAGCGCCTTCGGAAACTGAGGGAGAGACGTTTAAAATCCACGTCAGCTGGTTCCCGTCGTCCCTCCGTCAAAGGTGGGTCTCCTCCCAGCCAAGAATCTGTAGGCCTAAAAAATTCCAGGCGACAGTCAATCACTAGGAATTTTAATCCTCGCAATAGACTTGAACAAAGGAGGAGGAGCGATGACTTCAAGCAGAGACCTGTGACTCGTACCCTCACAACCATCACTCCCAGTATACGCAACACGAGGGCTCCCCTGCATGGTCGTACCGAATCTGGGGTAGACCCCATAGTATCGTCCACCACTAAAGCATCATCAAGAATCATTCATAGATGGACCACCCAGAGGCCTCTCACTTTTAGAGAGAGACTCAATGAGTTTAGAAGCAGAAATAGGTTCATACCTAAAAATAGACGAACAACAACCCCTCGGCCCGTCACCACCACCAGCCCGACGACAACCACCACCACGACCACCACCACGGAGAGAGTTTTAACCACGACACAAGAGTCTGACTTCAACTTTGTCTCAGAGAATTTCTTTGTCATGCCCTCCTCAACCACGGAGTCAACCACGTTGTCCAGAGTACAACAGATCCGGGAGAGGATCGCTGCCATGCTTAGCTTGAGAGGCCTCGCTGGTACCACAACGACCGAGGAAGTTATATCGATTCTAGAAGAAGTAACATCCAGACCGCTGTTTACAGAGACAACCGATTCGTCAATACAGTCGCCAACACATTTTGGCGTCACTTCAAACCCAGTTATTTCAATCCATGCTGTTGACGGAGACGATGGCTCGACAAAAATACCCCTTGACGACCTCTTGTCAACAATCATACAGTCAATGAGCACCTCAGAGTTTCCACCAACTACTGTCTCCTACAGTTCACTTGATAATAACACCAGCCCTATCACACTAGACGACCAAGAGACAGTGTCATACTCCGTCGCTACCACACAATTAAGTACGTCTTTAGAACCTGTATCAGTCTTGTCTATATCCACAACAGTTTCTTCTGATGACCTCCCACCATCGAAAACCCAACCCACAACAATTGATCCTGAAGACAAAAGTGATTTTGATATTATACCAGTAATCCCTAGCACAACACTGGAACTCTCCTCGGAAGCAACAGTCGATGAAGCAGCAACAAGTCTGACTAATTCTGCTGCAGGGTTGGACTCAGAATCTACACAAGCCTTCAATCATTTTCCTGAAACCACCACAACAAAGGCTTCTCCTCCAACCACTACTGGTTACCAGACGGACGACTTTAACACGGGTGTGGCTGACAGTTTGGTGGCAACAACGCAGGCGTCAAAAGAAACGAAACCTGAGGAGCCACGCATTCAAGACCTGATTACAAAGCTAATCTCACAAGGAGTCATCACAAAAACCGAATCGGGCGATACACTGACAAAGCCTAATGTAGTAGAGGAAGAAGCAACAATAAGTACAAATGAAGGGCAGACAGAGGCAACAACAGCTGAAGAGCAAGAGGCAACGACTTTAAGAACGACAACTCTCGGGTTACAAGCAGCGACCGAGACGCCAATATCCTCCACCACCACAAAAGAGACAACGATGTCATTCAAAGACTTTGATACTCCAACATCTGTAACTGGCCCAACCACTGACTTTGTTGTGGGTGATCACACTACAACAGAAGCCGAAAACCAGGAATTGACGACAACCTTTGGAGTTCTAACCACACAGAGAACTCCAATGACTTCCATCTCATCAACACATTCAAGGATCCCTTTACTGTCCAGTAGATCCACAACGTCCAGACCAACAACTACACCACCACCAAGTACAACAAAATTTCCCTTCTCTAACAATCCTCTGATATCGTCAGTGAAGATGATGGACACTACGACCAGGTTTAGCCAGGGAGTCACAGAGCCAGTGACTGACGCCCCAACAACAACGGCCCCCCAACACCAAGACTTTATCTCGCTCGACTATGATAACTTTGAAACTACGTCCTCAGGTCCTACCACAGAGTTTTCTACGCTACCAGAATTTGGAGCAGTTGGTGAGAATGAAGTTGACGTTCTTGATTCCATGGATAATTTCCAAATGTTGTTGCGTAGTTTCGACAGAACGTCTGTTCGTCCTGAATTTGCGGCGTTGAACCATGTTCTTGGCTTCACTCTGACACCCACAACAGAGGAAGTTGATCCTTTAGAAATAAACTTGGAGAAACCTGATACACCGCAGGATTACTTCTATGATGACCTGGAGCCTGCACCAACCGAGCTGGTGTTCTTTTCCACCAGCCTACAGACGCCCACTGACGTGGAGGGACAGGGAATGTCAGATGCCGAGAGTACCACAAGCTTCGAGGGCTTCATCACAGCTGAGGAAGATTTGGTGCCAACAATACTTAACATGGATGTGACGTCACTTACCGTCTCCGAGCCCTCTGCGAAAGTGAAAAATCTTTCTGAGGTTTCAGAATCCCCTAAGACAGGCGAAGATTCTAATCTCACGAAAGAAGAAAAAGAAGAAAATACAAAGAATATGTCAAAAACAACAACAAACGCTGACAATAACTCAAGCACGATTAATACAGGAATCCTGTCAGAAGATACAAACTCAAGTTCGTCAGACACTAATGAAGCAGAGATAAAGTCGTCGATGATTAATCTCTCAACGGAAATCACCACCATTGCCCCTCCAGCAGGTAAGGTTCTCCAAGGAGTTGCTGCAACAGAAGCATCAATCTTACCTTTTGATGAGGAAGTGCCCACGTCTCTGCAGAATCGTCCCAGTCGTTTCTCTGCTGCGAGGAGTATGGCCACCCTTCAGAACTCACCTCGAGAAGGAAGGAATAGCGACACCAAAAGTTCTTCTGACGGGTCCTCAGAACCTACAACACTGCGGGAGAAACTGCGTTTGCTACAACTTACGAGCGATCGAGATAGAGATACAGAGACGCCGGACATACCTCACCAAACATCCAGACCGCATCTTCTTCAACTTGCACCACGACCGGATCTGCCTCAACAGACATCCAGACCAGACAGGCCTCTCCGGTCATCTAGACCCGACTTGCCTCAAAGGTCATCCAGACCAGATCTGCCTCAACGGGTATCTAGACCGGATCTGCCTCAAAGGGCATCCAGAACAGACTTGCCTCAAAGGGCATCCAGACCTGATTTGCTTCAACGAAGAAATAATAACCTTTCTTCTCCTCGGTTAAGGACCACGTCTGAAAGACCAGAATCTGTCACTTCCAGTGGAAGATTGAGCCTCAGTGAACTCCTCAGTCAGAGAAATTCACAAGGGGAGACCACTAAGGCGCCCACACCCAAGTCCAATGAAGTGAGACCTTCGGGTGGTGCTTTTACCCAGCCTCCACCCAGGCGAGACAGTACCAAGCAGTCATCTTTTCAAGGTACGACTCGGCCAAGGCCCACGACCACAACACAGGCTACGACGACGGAGGCTGAAGAGTTGTCTACTATTTCAAGTAACACCGATAACCCGAGCTCTGAAAACAAAGACTCCAAGAATGCCGCGTTTCTAAGGTTCTTGGAACTAAATAGCCAAAGATTAAAATCTTTAGCTGCCAAGAAAACCGATGAGACAGCAGACACCGAGGCTGTCACTGTAACAACACCAGCAGATAGCTTCACCACCGACATGCCAGAGGACACTACTGAAGAGATCCCGGCGTCTACCAGAAGACCTCAAGATTTCTGGCTTCGAGGACAGCTTCACCGGAGACGTCCAGCTGGAATTAAAAATGCCCCCAAAATATCTGAAGTAATTCCACAAGGTCGAGCAACAAATCCAATTCTACCAGACGGGCTAAGATCTTCACTGGTAATTGAGGGAGAGAGGAAGTCATCTTTCTTAAGGCCTGTGCCCTCACCCAGGCCTTTCAGCGTAAATTCAGAAGGTCCTGCCATACACAGAGTTAGTCCATCGTTCTCCCCTGAGAGTGATGATCCTCAGCCAGCCAGAAGGTTCCCAAATCTTCCCCCAAGGTTCCGTGTCAATGCAGGTAACCGTTCACGAACCTTCCGCGTACGACGTCCTCGACCTACCTCGAAATTCTCCAGCTCTCAGCCACAACAGGAGACACGTCCTAGGACTCATTTCTCTCCGTCTCCTACACCCCGCCCGACCTTAATGGAGGACAGAACAGTGAGGCCGCAAATTGATCAGGTAACAAGACACCCATCACTGTTGATTCCTCGAACCACCATAAAACCACGCACGAAAGCCACCGCAGTACCCACAACGCCACGAAATAGCGTGGAGACCGATACTAGAAGAACTACACAATTCTTTAAATCGAAGCCAAAACCTGAAACACTGGAGCTTCCAACGACAGAGCCGGATGGAGATGAAATAACTACTTTGGCGACGCTCATAAATAGACAGAAGGTTGAAGGAAATAGGTTCGGCACTCAGAGAAGACTAACGACATCTAGGCCCTCGGAGGTGCCAGACATAACGACACAACTTGATGATGTTCTTTTTGGTCCTTCTACTACTTCAGGTGAAGTAGAGAGTACGTCTTTCCCACAATTCTTTGATGATGAAACATCAACTCCCACAGTTTTTGATGAAACCACAAAAAGTTTGATTGATAGTACTTTAACTTTCCAGTCAGACAGGACAATTATCTCGTCAACAGAAGGCATGACTTCGTCTCATGTTCCCCCTCCATTTAACTTCTTCAACAATCAGGAAGCTAAAATTACTTCACCTACAAAGGTAAGACTTTCCCCAATTTCTGGACCACAAGAAATAACCCGCACTCTACCACAAAAGGGATTCACACCTTTCCACCACTCCACCACACCGGCGCCGAGACCTCGGCCCACCACCGCCATCGATTTCGAAACAATAATCCCTCCAGTCACTCCTCTGTTGGAACGTGAGTCTCCAGAACCACCAAGAACATCCCCAACTGTTGAGGTTGTAGGCTTCGAGACGTCGGCCACAACAGTCTCTCCTATTTCTTTTTCTACGACCACTTTAGATATTGAATCAAAAACTGAAGCGCCTCATCCTCCGAGGTTTTCTCTTGATTTTGGTTCACCATCGCCTGCAACATTCGTCATCCTGCCTCAGAGAAGTTCCTCAAAGTCTACTACAACTCCACGATCATCACCGCGACCATCCTCTACCACTAGGTCTCCGAACGAGTTTTTCACGACTCGAGCAAATTTCCCTTCTAGGCGTCCACCCGTGAATGACAGGAAGCCATTGGTAACTACCACTCCCAGACCTCAGGGCCAACCTGTGGCAATTGATCCTAACGAAGCCTTTTTTGCTGAGGAAGACCCTCCTTGTCATTTATGCCAAGACAACCGGCCGGAAGAGACGACTCAAGCGTTACCAGTTTCGGAACAACCGATCATCACAACACCCCTCAATACAGTGACGCCCAAAGTTGTGCTGGTGGCTGTACCAATTGCAAACGGATCGCTGTTTCCAGGAAGTTCTTTTATTATCCCAAATAGCATAAGCGATTTCATAACAGCAACTAGTTCAGGGGAGAGCACAACCTTGCAGCAGGAGGAAGCGACGACATTCCTTCCAAATGTGGATACAAATCCTCCAGACATCATTTCGCCTAACCTCCCCACTACTACCGCTGTCCCAAAGAGACTTATACAGAACAATTCAAAAGAGAAATTCCTCAACGTAGATTCTCTCGCTCCACCACCTCTGCTCCATCACATGATAACGAAGGGTGTGACGATTACCTCAGAGGAAGGCATTATATCTCGGGGAGTGTTTGCATCTCAGACTCCACCGCAGGCGGAGCAACAAAAGTTGCTACAGCAACAGAAACCGGAAGGACCTCAACAAACCATTCAAGGAACACAGCAGAACCAAGGGCACCAGATCTTTCCAGGGCAACAGAACTTACAATTACAGCAAGACCTTCAAGGAAAACAACAAAGTTTACAGGGTGAACAGCAGAGGTTCCAAACAGGACAAGTGAGGCCACAAGGTGAACAACACAGGTTCCAAACAGGACAACAGAAGCTACAAGGTGAACAACAGAGGTCCCAAACAGGACAAGTGAGGCCACAAGGTGAACAACACAGGTTCCAAACAGGACAACAGAAGCTACAAGGTGAACAACAGAGGTCCCAAACAGGACAAGTAAGGACACAAGGTGAACAGCAGAACCTGAACAGGGGACAAAAAGAGACCCAAGAAGGACATCAGAGCCTACAAGGTGGACATCTAAACCTCAAAGAAGGGCAACGGACACCTCCTGGAACACAAAAGAACCTTCAAACAGAACACCAAAGCCTACAGGGAGGGCATCAAAACATCCAGGGAGGACTACAGACTTCACAACACAAGCAAGAGAACTCACGAGGAAGTCAGTCAAACATCCCAGGCCACCAGATCCCTTCCGTGGGACAGCAGAGACCTCCAGGAGCTAAGCAGAACACCAGACCTCTGCATCAGAATATTAACATAGGATTACATAATGTTCAAGCTGAAGGTCAGACGCACCAGGAGCAACAAGGGACGCTCAACCGCAGGCACCAGAACATTCAAGACGCCCAACATGTGAATCTAAGGCCTCCTAATTTCCAACAGAATCCTCAAGGCGGAAATCAAATTTTCCAAGATGGTAAAACGAGCTTCCAAAATGGTCAGCAGATTCTCCACATTGGTCAACAGATTTCACAGAATGGCCAACGGATTTTCCAGGATGGTTCACCGATTTTCCAAGATAACCAACACAGCACACAAAGAAATGGACAGAATATAAAAGTCGGTCAGCACAGCAACCAAGATGGACAACAGATTTTCCAGAACGGTCAACAGATTTTCCAGGACGGTCAACAGATTTTCCAGGACGGTCAGCAGATTTTTCATGAGGGTCAACACATAATACAAAGTAGCGAAAAGAACATTAAAGAAAGTCAACACAGCATCCCAGGTAGTCAAGATGGACACCACTTTACCCAAGAAGGTCAACACATTATCGTAGGCAATCAAAAAAACGCCCAAAGTGGTCATCAAATCATTCTAGATGGTAAACCAGTTACCCAAAGTGGTTCACCTAACAACCAAGGTGGCCATCATATAATTCAAGATGGTAAAGCAATTAGCCAAAGTAGTTTACCTAACAACCAAGGTGGCCATCATATAATTCAAGATGGGAAAGTTATCACCCAAAGTGGTTTACCTAACAACCAAGGTGGCCATCATATAATTCAAGATGGGAAAGTTATCACCCAAAGTGGTTCACCTAACAACCAAGGTGGCCATCAAATAATTCAAGATGGGAAAGTTATTAGCCAAAGTAGTTTACCTAACAACCAAGGTGGCCATCATATAATTCAAGATGGGAAAGTTATTAGCCAAAGTAGTTTACCTAACAACCAAGGTGGCCATCATATAATTCAAGATGGGAAAGTTATCACCCAAAGTGGTTCACCTAACAACCAAGGTGGCCATCATATAATTCAAAATGGGAAAGTTATCACCCAAAGTGGTTCACCTAACAACCAAGATGGCCATCAAATAATTCAAGATGGGAAAGTTATCACCCAAAGTGGTTTACCTAACAACCAAGGTGGCCATCATATAATTCAAGATGGGAAAGTTATCACCCAAAGTGGTTCACCTAACAACCAAGGTGGCCATCAAATAATTCAAGATGGGAAAGTTATTAGCCAAAGTAGTTTACCTAACAACCAAGGTGTCCATCAAATAATTCAAGATGGGAAAGTTATTAGCCAAAGTAGTTTACCTAACAACCAGGGTGGCCATCAAATAATTCAAGATGGGAAAGTTATTAGCCAAAGTAGTTTACAGAATACCCAAGGCGATCAGCACAGGAGACCAGGTGATCAACATACCTTCAAAGACGAAAAACAAAGCCTGGGCGGTGTACGACAGAACCCCCCATCGGCACACCAACACTTCGTCCTCGGACAACAAACACTCCAGGACGGAAAACATAATTTACTCTCTGGAAATAAAAACGTCCAAAGGGAACAACAGGACTCCCAGAGAGGACAACAGAACAACCAAAGAGAACAACAGAACAATCATAGGGAACGAGAAAACAACCATAGGGAACAACAGGACTCCCAGAGAGGACAACAGAACAACCAAAGAGAACAACAGAACAATCATAGGGAACGAGAGAACAACCATAGGGAACAACAGGACTCCCAGAGAGGACAACAGAACAACCAAAGAGGACAGCAGAACAACCATAGGGAACGAGAGAACAACCATAGGGAACAACAGGACTCCCAGAGAGGACAACAGAACAACCAAAGAGGACAACAGAACAACCAAAGAGGACAGCAGAACAACCATAGGGAACAACAGAACCCCCAAAGAGGGCAACAGAATAACCAAAGTGGACAACAGAACCAAAGTGGACAACAAAACCCCCAGAGAGGACAACAGAACCCACGAACAAGACAACAGAACCACCAGAGAGGACAGCAGAACCCCCTAAACAAGCATGAGAATCTTTCAGGGAGCCAACAAAACCTACCTGGCAGACGACCGACCTCAACTCCACATCGCTCGGGTTCAGGGAGCAACGTTGGCGTCTTCGTCAATCAGGCTGCCGGCTTCTTGATTGGACCGGCCGACGCTGCAATTCCGGCCGACGCTGCAATCCCCAGCTTTTCCAGCAACGACGGCGGCGTCGATGACATTTTCGCCGGCGTTACTGACCGAGATCCTTCTTCTCCCTCACTCCTGACGACATCTCAGGTTCCTTCCAACCCTGTGTTTACTGTTGATAGTTCTCAAACGCTTGATGACCATATTAACAGCGGGAAAGGAGTCACTAACACCCCGGCTGCCATAACTACCTTCTTGCCCACCACTAACCCACCGTCAACAACCCCCTTCATACCCAACTTTAAGATGCAAACAATCAGATTCTTTCACGATAGACCCGTCACTCAAAAACCAAAGTCTCCCAAACAATCTTTTCCCAGCACCACACTCTCACCTCCGTCACGCACGGCCTCTCGCCTTCTCCACAAGCGTCCCACAATCCAGAAAGGGCCTCTAGATCCTCCTAGGAATCGCTTTATTTCTAGAGACTCTTCCCTGATGACCACAAACCCTAAGACGCCTCAAAGTATCATAGTTCCCCACACGACACTGATCCCCCCTGGAGTTGACAACGGTTCTTCAGGTACCACTCGACCCTCACAGTTCTTGAGGCCCTTTACCACACTCACTCCCCCGACACGAATTAACGATAATAATCCCTTTAGTTTCCCGACATCACAACCTCGACCCAACCTTCCCGGAACAAACTCTCAACATCAAATCTCGACTCATTTCAGGCCTCGAGTTCCCTCGACATCGAAACCCAGAGTGACGACTAATAGTAACTTGCCTGATTCGACGACTCATGGGGACCGACATGCCAGCCATTCTCAGAGACCTGCCGACAGTTTCCCATTTACTGACGCTTCACAAACCACACCTCAGCCTCACACCAGGAATTCTTTTATCGGGAACACACAGCAACCATTCACTACCACACCTTCCCCGCACAACGTTCGCTTGACCACTACTTCCTCCCCACACTCGACCACCTCTCATGGCACTACTACTACAACTACTGCCCCTCACACCACCACCCATCCTACTTCTCGAAAGACTTCCTCCCCTTCTACCTTTCCTCACACGACCACTCATAGTAACACCCTTCTTCCCTTCCGTACAACCTCTTCTCCCACCCCTTCAACGACCTCCTCACCCACCACCCATAAAATCTCCCCTCTCACCACTCACAAGACAACCTCCTCTCCCACTACATTATCTCCCTTCTCCCACACGACCTCCTCCTCTCCCAACTCACACACGACCCACTCTCCTGCCTCTCATACGACTTCCTCCCCCTTCTCCCACACGACCTCCTCCTCTCCCAACTCACACACGACCCACTCTCCTGCCTCTCATACGACTTCCTCCCCTTTCTCCCACACGACCTCCTCCTCTCCCAACGACGAACCCTCCTCTCCCAACTCCCACTCTCCTGCCTCTCATACGACTTCCTCCCTTTCTCCCCACGACCTCCTCCTCTCCCAACTCACACACGACCCACGCTCCTGCCTCTCATACGACTTCCTTCCCCTTCTCCCACACGACCTCCTCCTCTCCCAACTCACACACGACCCACTCTCCTGCCTCTCATACGACTTCTTCTCCTTTCTCCCACACGACCTCCTCCTCTCCTAACTCTCAAACGACTTCCTCCCCCTTCTCCCACACGACCTCCTCCTCTCCTAACTCTCATACGACTTCTTCTCCCTTCTCCCACACGACTTCCTCTTCTCCTTTCTCCCACACAACATCACCTCCCAGTACTGACCCTCACTTGACTCATTCTATTATAACTGAGTCCACATCATCTGACGGAGGCTCCAAGACCTTCGTCCAGCCAGTCACTCCCCCAGAGAGCACAACTTTCATCTTCGACGGTGAAGGCAACCTCATTTCCTCCCACAACCTGTCCCCCTCACCTCACCAACACCAACAAAGCTTCAAAGACAGAGGTTCCGTCCGCTTCACCCCGCCCTCCAATAACCTCCCAGAATTTCCGACCCAAAGTCCTCCCAGAGACCAAAGCACTCCTGAACCGTCATTAAACTTCCAAGTTCCCAATAAACCAATCAACGAGCGAGGGAACATTCAGTTCTTCTTCAGGCCTCCTGGTGACAATAATCGCCCAACTCATTTGGGTTCTACACGTACTCCAGTCCCTAACAAACTGAAACCAACTCCCGTCCCGACCAATCCCCCACCAGCTCCTCTCTCTAACCAGTTCTCATCGTCCTCGCACTCCAACAGACCCCAACCTCCCACGGTTCTCGGTCTCCCACCAACCCGAATCCCTCAGCATCACCAGCCAGTCACAGACCCAAACAGCTTGTTGCCGTTCCCCATCACAGCCAACCCCTCCACCTCCCTCCCTCCCAGTGGCAACCCGCCGTCGTTCTCCTTCTTCAACACTCCTTTCTTATCTGTCGGTGCTCATGATCCACATTCATTCCCTGGCTCTGGCAATATTCCCACACCATCCACCAACACTGTGGTTCCACCCTCCCCTATCTCCACCAGTCCTACTCCACTCCTTATCTCCAGCAGTCGTCCTGGTGTTCCCCATCAAGGCACTTTCTCTAACGCTTCCCCACCTCCAATCCCGACCAGCAATCCTCCAAGACTCCTTCACAACAACAAACCTTCTCTCTCGTTCCCCGCCTCAAACAAGGGCTCTCTCCTTATCTCCAACAGTCGGCCTTCAACACCCTCCCCCAACACCTCCCCTCAATCCCATGTTACCAGTCCTTCCTCACTCCTCGTCCCTAACACTCCCCACCCTAACCAATTCGCCAACACTCCCCACCCTAACCAATTCGCCAACACTCCCCACCCTAACCAATTCGCCAACACTCCCCACCCTAACCAATTCGCCAACACTCCCCATCCTACCCAATTCGCCAATACTCCCCACCCTCACCAATTCGCCAATACTCCCCATCCTAACCAATTCGCCAATACTCCCCATCCTAATCAATTCGAAAATACAGCTCACTTCGCCAACAGTCTCCCTCCAGACCAATTCGCCAATACACCTCAATTCGCCAACAGTCTCGCCTCACCAATTCAAAACACTCTTCATCCAAGCCAATTGCCAACAGTCTCCCTCCAGACCAATTGCCAATACACCTCAATTCGCCAATAGTCTCCCTCCAGACCAATTCGCCAACACTCCCCATCCACCCAATTGCCCCATCCTACCCAATTCGCCAACACTCCCCACCCTACCCAATTCGCCAATACACCTCAATTCGCCGACAGTTTCCCTTCAGACCAATTCGCCAATACTCCTCAACCAGCCCAATTTGCCAACACTCCCCACCCTACCCAATTCGCCAATACACCCCAATTCAACAGTCTCCCCGCCTCACCAATTCGCCAACACTCCCCACCCTACCCAATTCGCCAATACACCCCAATTCGCCAGCAGTCTCCCACCAGACCAATTTGCCAACACTCCTCAACCAGCCCAATTCGCCAACACTCCCCACCCTACCCAATTCGCCAATACACTCCAATTCGCCAACAGTCTCCCTCCAGACCAATTCGCCAACACTCCCCACCCTACCCAATTCGCCAACACTCCCCACCCTACCCAATTCGCCAATACACCCCAATTCGCCAACAGTCTCCCTCCTAATCATTTCGCCAACACTCCACAATCTACTCATTTCCCTAATAATCCTTCACCAATCCCTGTCTCCAACAATCGCTTAACCAAGAACAACTTTAACCGCAACACTGTGGTGAACCGAGGGAGAGTCAGGTTCACCACATCTACAACATCTCCCCCTCCTCCTCTCTCTCACACTCCCTCCCCTTCCCATGCCTTCCCCATCTCCAACAAACTACCCTCATCTCCAACACGCAGTCCGTCCCTCCTGGTTCCCTTCACCGGTGGAGATGAGAGTGTGAGTCAAACATTAAATTATGAGGCGTGTTCACAAAATTCATTCTAGGTCAACACAACAAAGAACAGCTGATTCGTGACGTTGACTGTTTACATTGATGACGTAAACTTGACGTCATTAATTTCAGTAAACTTGACGTCATCAATTTCAGTTTAGGGTTGATAAGACCAATGAATAATTTTCTGGATACGCCTATTCTCATTAGATTAATAATTCTTTCTTATGGAGTATAATAGTTACTAAATAATTTTAGCATTAAACTAACTAAAGGTTATGGTATTATATATTAACAGATAATGCTTTGGTATAGAATAGTACTAACATTGGCATAATAACTGGTATTTTAATATGTTCTGTCTTGTTTAATAATCTATTATAAGAGTCAATTGTGGTAAATTTATAAAACTCCACACACACACACACACACACACACACACACACACACACACACACACACACACACACACACACACACACACACACACACACACAACACAGCCATCAACTTTGCGCATCATATAATGGCCAACATCCTATCTGCTTTCCCTTAACGAAAAACAACACGAGACTGAAAGTAAAGTCAATAGTAAAAAAAAAATAGATCTCAAAATACTGAATGTCCATAAAGCCAAAACTGTCGTACAGCGAACACCTGAAAATCAGTATCAGGAAGAGTTTTACCGCGCTGCCTGATGATGCATAACGACTGTAGCATTCCTGTACTATACTAGCCAAGGTGATGAGCTGACTGGGTCCATCTGAGTGATGACAACAACTGTTATGAGAAGAGGCCTCAGCGAGGTTCACCAAGCTGCTTGGTGTATGTCATCCCAGATGCTGTTTTTGTCAACATTTTATGTCTTCATATTGATTTAGGGTTTAGTAATGGTGTCGATGTTAGAAAAAATGCAATTCACAGTAGAATGTCGTAATGTAAATAATATGGTGATGATAGTCGCAGCAAGAGTAAGACGAGAAGAAAATACACAAGTATACATAACAGTATTGTAGTGACAGTACAATAGTGATCAATATTTTCAGCGATTACATAAACAACAATATTGACCCAAAGGTTTAGTGCTACCCAGAGTAATATTAAGAAGAAAACTTGTGCTTAACTATACAAATACGATATTAATTCAATAGCAATATAGGAATAAACTACATGGCCAAAATTATCGAAACTTCACTTTAACATCAACCTATGTACGTCCATTCTGTTGACTGAAACAATGTTTACCATCGCTGCAGCAACAGTGGAGAGAAGCGTTGATTGATGTGGGTTCATGAGCGTGCGAGAGAGACGGACGATTCGAAACGTAAATGAAGCATTATAATAAAACGACATTACGGATTATCAGTAATATAGTAATGTTTCGAACACCAAACGAAACACAGTACAAACAATAGTACAAATTGAACACCGATGAACGAGACGTAAACACAAATCATCATCGGTGGTTGAATGATTCGAACCCCCAATGAATCAAGACAAGAGGAATATTTTTTTTTCTACTACAACACATCCACTTATAATTTTATTCGGATCATTATCAAAAGATCACTGGAGCTTCAACAAACATCCAGAAGCACATATAGAAAAAAAAATCATTATAAACTCACACCTACAGTTTTCTATTCTCAAAGGATCTCGTGCTTGAAAAAATACCTCCACTCCAACATATACTCGTACACTAAGACACACTAAAATTCCTAACATGGCCACTCGAAGAATAACTCTCTCCCATTCCTACTGCAGGATAATAAAACTCTTTGAATCTCTATCCTGTATCCTGATAGCTCATTTGAAACCCTATCCTACATTCTCCAAGCTTATTTGAATTTTAATAGCTCCTCTGAATCTTTATAGCTCCTGTGAATCACTATCCTACATCCTTATAGATCCTTTGAATCATTATCCTACATCCTTATAGATCCTTTGAATCATTATCCTACATCCTTAAATCTCATAAAAATTTCTACCTTATATTCTTAAAGTTTATCTGAATCCCTATCTTATTTTCCTAAAACTCTTTTGAATCATTATCCCGTATCTTTAAAATTCCCTTAAAATTATACCTCGAATCTTCTAAAGTTTCTAGATATCTACTCTAGGTCTCCATAGCTCTCCTAGTTTTCCTAAAATTCCTTTCTTAAGCCCCATTTGTCTAGCTCCCAGACACCCCAAAAGACAATCTCCGAATCTAAAATTCCCCTAAGTTCCCAAGATTTCAAGTTCTCGTGACATGTCTTAAATTGCCCCAAATCTTGAGACATCCTGGGTTTCCTATAATGTTACATATCCTTAAAAAATTCTCAAAATTCTGTAGACCCTTGAGGTTCTTCACGGTTCTTAACCCTTTGATGATAAAAAGATTATAATGTCTACCTCAAAGGGTTAAACCATCACCCTCAAAGGGTTAAACCATCATCCTCAAAGGGTTTTACCTTCGTCGTCAAAGGGTCATCGACTTCCAAGGCTTAAACCATCGACTTCAAAGGCTTAAAACATAGTCCTCAAAAAGTTAAACATTATCCTGAAAGGGTGAATCCCTTAAATCTCTCCGACCATCCTACCCAAAAGAAACCCTTAAAGGAACATCCTGATACTTCCTTCACTATTTTTCAAAATCCTTCAAATAACCCCAAAAAAGAAGAAAAAAAGAAGAGAAAAACGACTACCCTAATTCTCCCTTCATCTCTTCAGGGCCGTGGTGGAGTTTCCTTGGATGACGACCCTGACGGTGATAAGATCCCTGGGACAGCAGGAGTGGACTACCCAGTGCTAGAGAACATCCCAGAAACATCCTTCGAGTGCACCAAAAGCTTAATCAGACACGGCAAGATGTACGCAGACCCGGATACCTCCTGTCAGGTGAGGCCAGTTTATCCATAGTGTAGGAAGATGAATAAAATGAATAACAAGAATGAGTGAAAATGGTTAGAGTATATTAAAAAAATTAGGTATTACAGACTACATTCATGTTAAATAATTAGATCTGAATGAATGAATAAATAAAAATACGTACACATGAAAGAGTGAATTTATGAAGATGAGTAAAAATGAACGAATGAATACAAGAAAATAATTAGGCAGCTACCAATGTGTTGCTCAGCTACTGCACTCATTCCCGACACGTAAACAACCTCAGATGTAATTCCTCAAATGCTAAAACGTTCAATAACTGACCACCTCTCTGTGTCAGCTGATCCATAATAAATTCAGATTTTTAACTCATAACGTCATTGCCTTCAACTAATTTTATCTTCCTCTGTACATTGGTGACGTGGTCCATTATGTCACTATGTCGTAAGTTGTGTTTTCTCAGTATAAAGGGAGTATTTCTTGCTAACACAGCCAGTATAATAAGAACTTACGTGAACACCTGTGGTTGTGTTCCTGATTCAATGATGGGGTTCTGCGTAGCTGAGAGAGATGATAGTATTGTGAACCATTGATTCCAACGATGGTGTAGAATGGAACGTTGGTGAACGATCATTATGAGTTCTGCGGCAGGCGTGTACGATGGCAGGTGTGTGAGATGGGAGATGCATGAAATGGTAGGTGTTTTTGATGACAAGGGTGTACGATGGTGAGTGTGAGAAATGGCAGTTGTATACTAAGGTATACTGTATATGTGTGTACGATGACAAGTGTGTATGATAGTAGATGTGTACAATGTCAGGTGTGTGCGATGGCAGGTGTGCGCATAGGAGGACAAAATAAGACTCGGAGTTTACACTAGACGGTGCACGTTGCGGGATGGACCATACCAGGTGGCCACCAGGACACACAGGTGTGTCACCACCACCATCATCCACAGGTAAACACGCACACACATCGTCCTCACCTCCACACTTTCTCCTCCCTCACCTCTCCACACACACACACACACACACACACATACACACACATACACACACACACGCACACACACATACACACACACACACACACTTATACTTATTATTATTATTATTACTATTACTATTATTATTATTATTATTATTATTATTATTATTATTATTATTATTAATTCTTAGCTCAGGTCCCTGGGGTCTCTCTTTGCCCCATCCCTATATCCTAATTTACAACAGAAAATATCACCATTGGTTTCTTCTATACCACACCATTGATTTTTCTAGTCCTCGCTATTGGGCTCTTCTAACACCTTACTAGTGATCTCTTCTATACCTCACGTTGGGTCTCTTCATTGACTCATAGTCCGTGTTCTCTATCTGAGCTGAGCTCCTCTTCCGGCAGGTGTACCACGTGTGTAACGGCCTCCAGAAGTTCTCCTTCCTGTGTCCGAAAGGAACAATCTTCCATCAGGACACCTTCGTTTGCCAGTGGTGGTTTACCGTCGACTGTCAGCGGCAGGCACAGAAGCTGGCAGATATCCGGGCTCTTGGTGACAGCTGAAGGAGTTAAATGACGGAATTGCGAACTATAAAAGACTCCTAGGAAGGGGACATTCGCCAGTGTAGATAAGACGACCCCAAGTCCTCCTGGCTGGCGATGCTGGGAAAACAGACACTGGTAAACATTTTCGTACAGAGAAGAGGGGAAGTGTGAGTGTGTGTGTGTGCGTGTGTTATGTGTGTGTGTGTGTCCTTTGGCGATAGTTCAAGGAGTGGAACGACAGATGGAAAGCCAAATACGGTGAAAACAAACACACACTCAGGCGGAGCCACACTCTACTCTGTGTTGGTCAGGAAGTGACCTAATTCCACGAGCTTGGAATGGGCGAGACTAGTTAGGTTTTGGGCGCGTTCTTCCGTGATCTTTTTCAAGAGATCAACAGGATGACGTAAAGACAAGGTTGTACATATCTTTAGTGTTACGACAGTGATGTCTGCGGCCCACAATTGTAAAACTCTGAAAAGGGACGGAAATAAAAGATAAATGACTTTATCAATCAATTAATAATTTTACGATCCCTCTCCAATGTGTTTGTGAACTATAATAAAGGTCAAACCCAAGTCTAGAAACTGACTTGTGCAGAAGAGGCGCTTACATACGATCTTCCGCAATATGGTAACGCTTCCTACAGTGAGAAAACAACAGCGCTATGCAATCCCATTGTCGAACCTGGAACTAGGATGTAGCGGGATTATTCTCCTGTTGATACCAGCGGGTTGCAGCTCACGACCATGACAACAAGTGCCTTAAATATTACTAGCTGTAACCTTTGTGATAGTTTATACCTTCCATTGGTGGTCAGGTGTCCCTCACCAACCTGAAGGAGACCCATACCTGAAGGATGAGTGTGTCTTGGGCAATGTGTACCTCGGGGTATGTGTACCTCAGGGTATGTGTACCTCAGGGTATGTACACCTTGGGGTGTGCGTACCTCAGGGAATGTATACCTCAGGTTGTGTATACCTTAAGGGAACACCTATTTCAGAAGAACAAATTAATAAGCTGAGAGAAGCATTTACACAGTACCATTCTTATCGACAGTCCTGGTGCAAGGCCTCCTTATTATGTCAACAGATAAAAGTGAGGTAACACCACAGGAATATACTTAGGAACACCACCACCTGATGAGACCAACGCACATAAACACACAGACATATGTACACTTACAAATACACAAAGACACACACACACACACGCACACACACATGCACTTTCTCTAGCTAATATTAATTTTATCCGAGGCGGCCAATGGTTAAGTTGTTATAAAATTGTGTGATCTGATAAAAGGTATTTGTAGTTATAAAATTTAGATTTTTGTTTTAGAATATAATAATAATCAGAAAATTTGATATATATGTTTTAATTATATTATAATGAATCTGTATCACATTGTTATTGGCTACATTTATATTAGAAAAAAATAATAATGTTTCAGTACACTGTAGTTAGGAGTTTTCTTGAGGTATTAATAAGTCCCAAGTGAATTATGGTTTCTGTATTATTCCACACACTATTATTTGACTTCGATTCATTGAAATTTAGAACACTAATGGAAATCTCGGTAATAATTTCACGCATAGTGAAAATAATCCTCGGGAAGATTCACAGTAACGTGAATGGTATCATCTGATATCAAGTCTACTTTAAAAACAGAAGCTTATAATAAGTTCCTGGATTTTACAAGTAATGTGGACTCGATGTCTGAAAATTACAATAATCAGAATACTATCAATAAAATGTTGACGATTAATAAGGGATATTCTTAGAGGTCATATCAGGGGTATATAGTTGGTACGAGGCTGTTTATGGAGTGTGTGTGTGTGTGTGTGTGTGTGTGTGTGTGTGTGTGTGTGTGTGTGTGTGTGTGTGTGTGTGTGTGTGTGTGTGTGTGTGTGTGTGTGTGTGTGTGTGTGTGTGTGTGTGTGTGTGTGTGTGTGTGTGTGTGTGTGTGTGTTAAGATGTTTATGGCGCGCCAATGGGCCTAAAAATCAACACCATGCCAACTTTAAATCCCCGAATTTAAACACGTGCAAATTTGTTGTCCACGTATAAGTTGGCATGACATTAATCTTTAGCCCAATTCACACGCTGCAAGTTTTCTTTACATTAAAAACTATATTAAAAAAACAGCATCATACGAACTTTGAACAACTGAAATGACCCCTAAATAATATATTGAGGATAATCAGAGTTGTCATGCTGGACCATGTGACCCTGTGTGGTGTAACCCTGTGTAGTGTGACCCTGTGTGGTGTGACCCTGTGTGGTGTGACCCAATGTGGTGTGACCCTGTGTGGTGTGACCCTGTGTGGTGTGACCCTATGTGGTGTGACCCTGTGTGGTGTGACCCTGGCTGTCATGAGTTGTGTTCAGGATCCGAGTTCCCAGAGACTCTTGCGTTATTTCTAGTTGCGTCAGTCAGCTTCATGAGCGCCTTTTCTGACTAAATTATTAACCCAAAGAATTTCCCTCCCATACCTCGCCTCGTTTACTACTGCAGGTGCTCTTCGACTAATGCCATGCACTGGTTCCTCAGTACATCCCTATAGTCCATACCTGCCACGGGCTATTCACTGCACGGGTCGAGGGTCTCGGCTTGCTCGTTAATTTCTTCTCACTTCACCCAACTGATAATTAATTATTGGTGGCCTTTGTTTTTCTGCAACTAGAATTGGTTACCTGAAGAAAAGACACGGTGGTGGTGGCCAAAGTGACGTCGAAGATAAACTTAGACTACTGTAATTAGCTACGATATTTTCCCCGCAGCTTAGAGAAAAATATCATCGCCTGAATCTTTGGGAATTCATTTCCTGATCTATAGTGAATGAATATGCTGCATTATGCGAAATTTATAACTTAAGGGTGTCACATCAGGGGTTCAAAGTTGGTAGGGTAATGTTTTGGAACCTGTGTGTATGTCCAGTACGTGTGTGTTAAGACCCAAAAAGTCAGTGTTATGCTAACTTTGAATCCCTGTCCTTAAACATGTACAAAACTGTAAGTGTTTGGGTCATGGGTATCTCCCAAACACATAGAAATATTGACTTTAGTATCGTGTCAGCTTTGTACCCCTGATGTTGACCCCTGAATACTACTCATGAATAGCTCGAAAAATCTTCTTGAAATGTTATAGTATTTTAAGAAAGGTTTTAAGGTTTTCCACATGCTTTTGCTATGTTCTTATTTATCATTCACGTATAATCACCCACAAAAAAAAATTAATACGTAATTTAATAATGAACTCCATGACAATAAAAGTATGTAAAAAACTAAACAAAAGTTAATAGATAAAAACAGCACAATAAGATGGAAGATAACTTATTATTGAGATATTAATAATTCTCTGTCGTCTTATTCACGAAAAATATATATTGTAGTGCTGTGGGTTGGCCCCTGAGTGTATTAAGTGTAGGGCAATGTGATGGCTCCTTTAAGTGTAGGTAAGTGTAGGGCAATGTGTTGATCCCCTGAGAGTGTAGTTTAGTGTGGGGCAATGTGGTGTGTAACGGTGTTGGTGCCGTACCCACCCATCTTCCTGCACCACAAACTCCTTTATATCCTGTATTATTTGTAACATAATACCCATGAAATACAATAAAAATAAATGCTCAATATATACACAGTAGTTTTAATTCTAATCGAGGGATGGGGAGTGTGCACAGTGAAGCGTCTTAGTCATGTGAGGTGTGATTATTGTCTGATGATTTACCAGAGTTGGTCTTCAAAGAAAGTGAATTTGAAAACGGCTCACCTGTGTTGTTTCTCAGACAGTATGTGATTTCCTAATGTGTTGTGGGAAGTTTAGAGGCGCTTAAGGTGGCAGAAAATGATCAGGCCAGAAGTATATAAGTAAGTCTTCCTTCAGGAGTAGACTGTGTGTGTGTATGTGTGTGTGTTTTATGTCAGTATTTACGTATGTGTATATAAAAGCTACGTGAGAAAAAAGTGAGTGAGTGAGTATGTATGTGTACGCGTACCACAGTCACTCATTTACAACAGGAACCTCTACTCAGTCGAACACCCACACCACCATCAATATCATTTTGCTGCTGCTGCTGTTGTCCGTCCCTAGCAAGGCAGGCCGACAGGAGAGCCAAGTTGCTCTCTAGAGGAATACCAGAGTCTCTGTGGTAGCTGGTATGGGTCGGGGAGGGACGAGGAGAAGCAGAGGAGGGGCCGGGGAGCTGTCAGCACGCCAGAAATACTCGCGCCTGCCCCCCAACGTGCCCTGAGCGCCCCTCCCCCCTCTTCTCCCACCGCAACCACCCGCCCCCCTCGCTGACATATTGGTTGTGTGGGGGAGGGCACGCGTCTTAAAGGAGGGGAGAGATATCGTCCAGACTGGGGATAAGGTGAGGGGAGGGAGAAGGGGAGGAGAGTGGGGGGGCGAGATGAAGGGAAAAGGGATGAGAGGTGACGGGAGAGATGAAGTGAGAGAAAAAGGGATGCAAGATAGGGGAAAGGGGAGTAGGAGCTGAGAGGAAAGAGGATGAGACGTGAGGGGAAAGGGGTAGGTAAAGGGGAAAAACGGTGATGAAGGGCGTAAAAATTTAGGCGGGCAGGGTGAAAGGTAGAGATAATATTATAAGAGGTATGGAGAACAGTGGAAGGAGGACAGGGTGAGAGGAAAGGAAAGGGTAAGTGAGAGGTAAGGAAGCAGACGACATACTAAGGTAAGACATCAAGGGTAAAACAGACATAAAAACAATAACAAAACCGTAGCCAAAAAATTCATTTAAGCGAAAGAAAATATAAATAGAAGAGAAAAAAAACGTGAAACTGAAACAGAACAAATGAAATACCAGGAATCAAGATAACAAAGAGTTTCATTTGTAAGAATTGATATAATGAAGGATAACAACGAGACACCTAAGCCAATTCGTTCATAAATTTTGTATAAAAAATCCGACTTACTATTGCATTATACAACTATTGCATTATGAAACTTTATCCTACATTAAACAACTTAAAGGCGGTAGAGAGATACCTTTGAGGTGACTGAACATACTTCGTTCATAAATGCTTGAAACAAAATAAGCACTTCCTAACATTAACTTCTGACATATTTACCTGACGACCTTGACAATGTGCTTCAATCACTGTTCCCTTGAGAGGGCGATTATTTATGCCACCTGTGTTTGTTGTCATGGTGGTAACCTTAGCGTTGTCATTGATACCATCAGAAATATTACGACCATAAGTGAACATAATAGCAGTCTTTAATAGGATAGAATTGATAATAGTAGTGGGTGTACTAGTATCAGTAACGGTCGTGTTAGTTATGCTTATAATAACAGTGATAGTTATCGTGGATGGGGTGTTCACAACCTCTGGTGGGATGGGACCAAGTGCAAGATGCTTCTACGCCAGACTCGCGGAGGTGATATCCGAACAGAAGCAGCAGCCCAACAGTTACAGTATGTTACAGCCTGGATGAGATGTCGACTGTCCTTCTCTCTCCTTCGGTCGGCTTTGCTCTGCCTCAGGGGAACGAGAGCATCGGCCCCAAAGCCGACAACAGTTGCAGATATTGACTATGAGGCTACAGTCACTGAATGCCGCATATATCTGCGGCTCAACTAATTCAACACAGATAGGATAGCTACTTATGTATTAGGATATTTAATATTAAGGTAATAAAATGGCGGCGAAGGTGTGGCTATTGGGGGAGGCTGCAGGCCACGTTTACAAAGAAGTAGTCGTAGTAGTAGTAGTAGTAGTAGCCCTTTCGCATTGGACAAAAATTCAGGTTGCATAGACCTATGGGAAGTGCTGAGACAAATTATTGGTAAATGTATAATGGAGGTAGTCAAAGATGATGATGAGGGCAGCAGCAGGCAACCAAGTATATGTGCCAGCTACCAGGCGCAAGGAGGGGGGGGGGGTTGCAGAAGGTGACATTCACGCCATGAGAAACATATTTGAGGAGCATGACTGTGAGGCTGCATTCCTGGTAGACGCCTCCAATGCTTTCAACGTACTCAACCGCGAGGCTACGCTATACAACATCAAGATCAGGTGTCCAAGCTTTGCCAGTTGTGTGGATTTTATGCATAGGAAGACGATAGACCTCTATATAACGAACTTTAGGGCCTTAAGAGGAGATAACAACAACAACAACAACAACAACAACAACAACAACAACAATAATAATAATAATAATAATAATAATAATAATAATAATAATAATAATAATAATAATAATAATAATAATAATATCAGTAATAACAATGATAAGAGCTATAAAATAAATGGTACAAGTCACAATAATATTATTAGTACGGTAAGTGTGAGAATTATCAACTCAAGTCACTTAATACTTTCACTTAAACAACTTATGACTCATAGTTCTCATGATCTTTAATTGTTGATGGACTTGTGTAATGACTACCCTTGTTACGTACTTAAGACCCAAGGTGTTGAGGCGCAGTAACATTATAACATCAACAACAATAATCCCTCAACATTCCACATTACACACACACACACACACACACACACACACACACACACACACACACACACACAATAATATTATTGTATTAGTGGTAATAGTAGTAGTATATTATTATTATTATTATTATTATTATTATTATTATTATTATTATTATTATTATTATTGTTGTTGTTGCTGTTGTTCTTGCCAGTAGTAGTACTAGTAGTAGTACTAGCATCTTCGTCGTCGCAGATGCTTCAACGACCCTCGCAACAAGAGCCGTGGTGACCCGGCCTGAGACAGCTGCGACTAAACACAACACGCCCAACATAAACACCAAAACCAGCCACCAGACCCCACCACACCGTCGCCCCCTCCTCCAGGCAGCTCCTCAAAAGACGAAATAAACCATAAAACCTGGTGCCATCTCCTTACCACTTGAAGG